GAGCTAAACTGTCCCAGACCTCAGCCTCCAAGGAGACGCAGGGGCAGCTTTGGGGCTGAGGAGGAACACATTTGACCAGGCTCTCAACCCTGAACTCAGTGAGACAAGAAATGCCCAAGACCTAAGCTCCTCCTTTCCGGGAAAGGGGAGGAAAAAGAGCCGGGCGGGCGTGAGGCAGCAGCACTACAAGTGGGGGCCCTGTATGGGCCCTGGCCCCCCTGCTGCTCTGTGACCTTGGGCCACCCCCACCCCTCTGAGCCTCAAGTGTCCAGACTTAGAGATCCCCCTGACCAGAGAGCAATGGGCCACCTGCCTTCCAGTGGCTTTCACCCATGGGTACAGGTGCTCACCCCAAATTTGCCAGTGACACGGCCTAATTCATGCTCAGCCCAAACCCTTGGGGGTAATAAGCAGCCCCCCCAATCACTGCGCACAAATTACCTACTAGGCATTGTACAAATCTCTTGCACACTACCTCATTCAGCCTCACACCAAGCCCCCCGGTAGGAACCATTGCTCACATTTACAGAGAGAAGGAAACAGCTCAGAAAGATCTGGGAACACTGACGGCCCCACCGGTGCCAAGTGACAGAGCAGGGACTGGAAGGCAAGTTCAGGTGAGCTCTGTCCCCTCCGCCTCGACCCCACACCGTCCTGCCTCCTCCCAGCTGAGGATCGAGGCCTTGTCGGAGCCCAGCCCCCCTCAAGCCAGTGGCAGGGAGGCCTCGGAGGAAGGGAGCTGCCCCCCAGGTTGGGACCTGAGGTGCAGCCTTCCCACTGAAGCCGGTGTGGCCCAAGAATTACTCGTGAGCCAGGTGTTTGGGCAGAGGTGGCATTCCTGTGAACTCAGGTCCTGCAGGGTGTGTAAGTAAAGCAAGGCTGCCTTCATTGCCCGTCGATGCCTGAGGGACATGTGCCCAGGAGCGGAATCCCGCAGTCCCGTCAGCGGGAGATTTCATGTGGGGGAGGCTGGTTGGTTTAGTGATCAGGGTTGGGTACACGGAGGCAGGCCTGCATGTTCTCCTCCTTTGTCTCTGGGTCATGTTTACGTGGATTTGCTAGATGGAGGCTTGAGTTTGTACCTCATCAGAGCCGTGGTCCGCCTGGGGCTCAGACTGCTCAGTCCCTGTTCCTGGGTCTCCCGAGGCTGGAACTGCTCCAGGGGTCTCCTGGAGGTGCTGCCCCCTTCTCTGGAAGCTTCTGAGTCCAGGGTGACTCTCCTTCCCGCCTTCTGAATCCCACCGAGGTGTTCTCAGCTGGCTCTCTGCCCCAGGTGGCAAGCTCAAAACCTGAGACCCCCAAGGGTGGGAAAGGGTCCAGTTAAAGGCTGGCAGAGGGCATTTCCCAGTTTGAGGGACAAGATGTTAGGACAGGGCCTCTCTTCTGATGGAGCAGTCTCATGGTGTCCTCAAAGGGCACGTCGTCCAGCCTCCTCTCCGTCACCCCTTCACCTCCTCAGGATCCCTTCCTTCCGAGAGGTGGCCTGGCCTCCTTCACCCCTCAGCCGAGCAGGGGCTGCTTCCCACGAAGGCCCCTCCCAGTGTCCCTGACCCTGACGCCCGTGGGGTTCATGTAGTTCAGAGGAAAATCCCCAGGGCTGGACTCGATTGTCTTTCTCTTTAGTTGTTGGCCTTGACCTTGAGGCTCAGAAAACCCCGGCCCCGGCCTTGAACCCTGGAGGACCTAGCTTACGGTGCTGGTGGGCCTTGGCGCTCATGAGCCAGCCCGGTGTGAGGGGTCCAGGCCAAGTCTGCCAGGTTCCAGCCACAGCTTTTTGGGGGGCGGGGCGGACTTAAAACAACTTATAGTCCTGTAGCTCTGGTACTGGTCTCACTGGGTTAAAATTAAAGTGTCAGCAAGACTTTGTTCCTTCCTGGAGGTGTGGGGAGAATCTGTTTTCTCTCCTTTCCCTGAGGCCACCTGTGGTCCTTGGCGGGGTCTCCTGCCACCTTTGAAGGCCGCAGTGGCCAGTCGGGCCCTCCCCACATCACAGCACTCTGACTGCGGCGCCTCCCTGACTCCCCGCCTCCCAGCCGCACCTCCTGGAACCCGGAAATCAAACTGGACCTGCAAGAGCTGCCCCGGGCCTGGCCGGTGTGGCTCCGTGGTTGAGCGTCATCCCGTGTACCAAGAGGTCACCAGTTCAATTCCCGGTCAGGGCAAATGCCCGGGTTTGGGGTTCAATCCCCAGTTAGGGTGCATACAGGAGGCAACCGATCAATGTTTCTCTCTCACATTGATGTTTCTCTCTCTTGCTCTCTCCCTATCCTGTCCTCTATCTCTAAAAAGTAATAAAAACAGCCCTGGCCAGTTTGGCTCAGCGGTTAGAGCGTCGGCCTGCGGTCCGGAGAGACCCGGGTTCGGTTCCCGCTAAGGGCACGTACTTCGGTTGCAGTTTGTCCCCGGCCCTGGTTGGTCGAGCGGGTGGCAGCCACTCGATGTGTCCCTTCACGTCGATGTTTCTCTCTCTCTCTCCCTTCCTCTCTCTCCCTCCCACTCTATCTGTACAAAAAATGGAAAAATATCCTCGGGTGAGGATGAAAAATAAATAAATAAATAAATAAATAAATAAAAAGTAATAAAAACATATCCTCTGGCAAGGATTTAAAAAATTTATTTATAAAAAGAAGTGCCCAGTGGGGAGGGAACCACCTGGGCCTCCCCCCCCCCCTCAACGATAGCCCCTCCCCTTCAGTGGCTTTCCCAGGGAGCAGTTGTGTTCTTAGAAAGGATTCCCTTGCTGCGCACAGCCTCAAACCAACCCACAGACAACAGTGCCTGGTAGTCAGGCTGAGTCACAGAATCTGAGGTGTTTAGAGGACCCGCCTGTTTGTGGGTCACCTGGCTGTGCCCTAACCCCTGCATGGGCCTGAGCAAGCTGCTTCAGCTGCCACTCCTCCCCAGCCCCGTGCCATGGCCAGCTGAGCCCCCTTTACCCTGCCCCCAAGACCCCCCATCCCATACACACCCTGTAAATGGTAGGGTGAGGACCCCCCTACTTAGGGAGCAATGTGTACAGTGGTTTAAAGATCAGTTCCAGACCAGAGACTCCAGCTTCACCTCTTACTTTGAGGCTTTGGTCAGGGTATTAGACCTCTATGTGCCTCAGTTTCCTCATCTGTAAAATAGGGATAATGATCGTGCAAATTGCATGGGGCTGTCTGGAAAATGAAAGGAATTGATAATGTGTGGATGCCTGGCCCGTTGAACTTGTTCTGTAAGTTTCACCTATTATTATATTATTTCTACTATCACAGTGATCACCTTGCCAGGTTGCTGGCTTCTGTTCCTAGACACAGTCACAGTGGTTGTGACGCCATGACTCAGGCGTAGGAAGGAGGCCTCCTGGAGAGGGTCTGCGTGTGCCTCTCACCCAGTCCCTGTGTCTGTCCCCACCCACCCCGCTACTACTGAGGGCCCAAAGCCCTGTCAGATCTAAGACCTTGACCGCACAGAGCTATCTAGAGAATGCCTCTAAAGAATGCCCCGGAGGTCCTGGCACCGACACTCAGACTCCTGGGAGCCAGAGGGAATCTGGTGGGCTCTGAGAGTCGCTGCCGGTGTCTCCGGTTATCTCTACTCTTGTCGTTCCTGGTTGGGCAAATCTACATTCTCCCCTTGCTTCCCCGCCCCCGCTCCTGGTCTCAGCCTCCGGCGCGCAGCCTGGCAGCCAGGACTGGGGAATCCTGTCCACCTGGACGGTGGAGCACCTGGGAAACTGGCCATTTGGGCCCCTTTGGCAAGATGGGGAGTCTGAAAGGCACCGCTGGCTCTCTGCCTGGTGGGGCAGCAGACAGAGAGGGTTCTGGCCCTTTCCTGGGGTGCTCTCCGGAGTTTCCATGTCACATTCAAAGCCCAGATTGTCACATAGAGGGCCATGGCTGTCCGGGCGGGGATTGGGGAATGAATGTGTTCTGACCCCAGGACCTCCCTGACAAGCCCAGTCTCTTTTGAATGAATTATTTGGCTTTCTTGCACTTTTCTCCTGAAGTCGTGTGCAAGAGGGAAAGTAATCACCACCCCCTAAAGCTCCAGTTAGGCAGATTCTGACTCATTGGGATTTTGACCTTTCTTCTCTTTCCCCCGCTGGCCATAGAGAAGGAGAAACTCCCTCGCGGCCTGTCGAGTGTCTGTAAGCTCTCCTTGCTTGTGAGTGACACCGTAGGGAGGCCCACCGTGACCGCTGCCGCTAGGAGGTGACCGAGTGAACCTGAGATGGGATGTGTGTTAAGGTCATGAGGAAGATTGCTTGAGAAACTGTGGCTGGCTCCTCACACTCTCCCCACCGCTGTAGAAACAGCTCGGAGCACAGGCCCAGTCGCTGGAAGGAAGACCCGTTACATCATCTGCCTGCAATGCGCTGGCCACCCTCACTGCTCACTACAGTCCTGTCAAGGCGGCACTATCCTCACTCCCATTGTACATAGGAAAAGCGAGGCCAGAGAAGTTAAGGGACAGCCAGGCAGAGCTGGGATTTGTTCGGGGTCACGTGGACCCCACCGTCCTGCCCTTTCTGCTCTGCCCTCAAACACGGCCGTGCACAGTCACTGGTGGGTGGGGGACTGGAAGAGTCCAGATGGGTGCTGGGCCACTGGGGGCAGCAGGTGGCCTCGTCTACCCTGCTGGTTCCAGATTAGAAATTCAAACGCTTGAGGGGAAGCCACCTTGTTTTCCTCCCTCGCAGGGATAAGCTCTAGCTGGGGCCTTGGCCAAGCTCCGAAAGCCCCAACAGGAGGGCTGGCCTGGGGGAGTGAGGACTTAAGACCTGTAGGGGCTGGATTAGGAGACAGATGGCTGCTAGGAGCTGAGAGCCCCAGGAATGCTGCAGAAGACCCCAAGAAACACTCCTTGAAGTCCCCCCAGTTCTTCCCATTAGCACATGCCCCAGCTGTAGGCTCTGGGTCCCACTTGCCCCACTAGGAACTGCAGGGCAGATTAAACTCAGTGGCCTACATGCCTTTGATCTCCAGCTCACGGTCTTCCCTCATTGTCGCCTTTAGATGGAATCTCTTACGGAGACAATCGTTTTGACACAGTGAGCGAGTCAGGAACAGCCACGCTGAAAGCCCGGCCCAGAGTCCGGCCCCTCCTGACCTTCCTTCCGCTGGTGAGTACAGTTCTGCTCTGGAGGGACCACCTCGGCTGCCCCGGAGCGGGGAGCCCCACCTGCCCTGGGCTAGTGGACATCAGGCTCACTCACCCTCTGTCCATTCCCTTCCTGATGCCAACCCCGGAGGCATGGCTGAGACTCACAGCAGAAAGGCTGGGACTAGGGGTGGCAGCTCCTCTGGTCGAAACCAGAGAGAGGTTGTGGGGAACTTGTGTGCAGAGGCAATGCAGTTGTGGGTGCCTCCAGCCAAGCAGGGTTCATATTCCACAGTCATGGATGGATGTCTGCTCCGTGCCAGGCCCTGCATTAGCTGCAGGCCACGAGTGGATAAACAGACTATTAGAACGTAGGCCAGAGCAGGGGCAGTTGATGTAGCAATAAGGGCAGTCAGGGAGGGCTTCCTGGAAGAGGTGACAGCTGAACTGTCTCAAAGGACAAAGGGCAGTGAGCCTTGGGAGAAGGGCATTTAAGACTTGTTTGTGTGTCTGAAACTGCAAAAACACAAGAACTCCCTTCTGGGGCCCTTGGTTGGGCGCCTGTTTTTTGACAAGGGAGGCTGCTCTGTGACTGGTTCTGTTTACTGTGCTGACAGTTCTGGGTTTTCTGGAACAGCCTAGACCAGTACTGTCCAATAGAATATCATGTGAGCCTCATAATCTTGAATTTTCTAGCAGCTACCTTAAAGAAATAGGTAACACCCCTGGCCGGTTTGGCTCAGCGGTTAGAGCGCAGGCCTGCGGTCCAGAGAGACCCGGGTTCGGTTCCCGCTAAGGGCACGTACCTCGGTTGCAGTTTGTCCCCGGCCCTGGTTGGGTGGTGAGGAAGGCAGCCCCTTGATGTGTCCTTTTCACGTCGATGTTTCTCTCTCTCTCCCTCCCTCCCACTCTATCTGAACAAAAAATGAAAAAATGTCCTCGGGTGAGGATAAAAAAAAAAAGAAATAGATAACAACATATTTTACTTAATCCAGTATATTCAAAAGATGATCATTTGAACATTTAATCAATGTGACAAGTACCAGTGAGGTGTTTTCCATTCTTTTTTCACACTGAGTCTGCACGATCCGGTGCGCGGTGCCCGGAGCGCACATCCCACTGCCGACGAGCAACGTTCCCAGTGCGCGGCAGCCCGTGGCCAGGGGCTAGTCCGGGACAGCGCCGCAGGCTCTAGGTTCTCTCCTGTCTGTCAGTGGGTCCTGTTACTGGGGTACAAATTGTGGTCTGAGTCCTCAGGGCCTGTTCGACCTCAGGGACCTCACGCCTTGGTCCTGCCTGGCAGCCACCTTTCTCTCTCCATCAGCAGTTTTCTTTCTGGTGTGTTTAACCTCACCAACCAGACCCTGGGATTCTAGCTGGGACACACTGAGCCTTGAGTTCCTTCTCCTGGCTGTATCCCCAAGGCCCCTCTGTGGAGGGCCGAGCACACAGACTTCTGGAAGTACAACTTTAAATAATTTATTTTCTGCTTATAAAACCAATTCATAGACATTATAGACAAACACAGAAGGTACAACCAACAACAAAAAGATATAAGCAAATGAGTCAGTCCTACCTTTGTTTGCAGAGGCACATAAAACTGTTCTGGGGGCCACTGCACCCATGAAAGTGGACTAAATCCCTTAGACATTTTCTATTGCTGGACGTAATTAGAGTCTCTCCCCTCAGGTACCCCCAGCACACACACTCAGGTCACAGAGGTGTGGGCCCAAGGCTGACACACTCATACTTGTTCTGATTGTTAAAATATTGAAATAAATGGCTGTGGCTTCTGAGCGGCTCCTACTGTCCTGGTTTCTCCGCCAGATCTGAACCAGCAACTATAGGGTTAATGCAGCACAGCTGAGTTTATTCTGATTGGCTGGTGTCCTATATGCCCCACTCACCCACTCTGGGTTCCTTTGGTGACCAGGGCAAGCCCAGCCTTCCTGCTCCCCTCAGTTCTGGTTTGGACACTCAGGGTAGATCCAGTTTGGGCCAAGCAGGGCCTGACTCGGGGGCTGTGCAGACCCTGTCCAGCAGCCACTGGAGGGGCCGTGGCTGGCTGGTCAGGCCTGGCCTTCGAGGCTGCTTCCCGGGGCCTCCTTCAGGCAAGCCTCAGCCAGTCCCGGCCTGGGGACAGCCCCGCACACCCCTCACGGGCGAGGGCCACGGCGAGGGAATGAACGCACCGAGATCCGCCAGCTCAAAGGGGCTCATGAGGTCCACATGGCCTCATTTTACAGAGGCAGGAAGGGAACCCCAAGGGGGAAGGTCACTCTGTGCCTTCGGTGCTGGCTGAACGGGGAAAGGCAAGTGGAGCAGCTTGGAGCAGCTTGCACTGTCCCGGGAGTGTGTCAGGCACTGTCCCGGGAGTGTGTCAGGCACTGTCCCAGGAGTGTGTCGGGCACTGTCCCGGGAGTGTGTCAGGCACTGTCCCAGGAGTGTGTCAGGCACTGTCCCGGGAGTGTGTCAGGCACTGTCCCAAGAGTGTGTCGGGCACTGTCCCGGGAGTGTGTCAGGCACTGCTCCAGGTGTGTGTCAGGCACTGTCCCAGGTGTGTGTCAGGTACTGTCCAGGGAGTGTGTGTGTGTCAGGCACTACTCCAGGTGTGTGTCAGGCACTACTCCAGGTGTGTGTCAGGCACTGTCCCGGGAGTGTGTCAGGCACTGTCCCTGGAGTGTGTCAGGCACTGTCCCGGGAGTGTGTCAGGCACTACTCCAGGTGTGTGTCAGGCACTACTCCAGGAGTGTGTCAGGCACTATCCTGGGAGTGTGTCAGGCACTGCTCCAGGAGTGTGTCAGGCACTGTCCCGGGAGTGTGTCAGACACTGTCCCAGCAGTGTGTCAGGCACTGTCCCGGGAGTGTGTCAGGCACTGTCCCGGGAGTGTGTCAGGCACTACTCCAGGTGTGTGTCAGGCACTGTCCCGGGAGTGTGTCAGGCACTGTCCCGGGAGTGTGTCAGGCACTACTCCAGGTGTGTGTCAGGCACTGTCCCGGGAGTGTCAGGAAAGTGCTGTGTTTATCTCCAGTTTGCAGATGGAGAAAGGGACGTACGGAAGGTGGCGGTAACTTGTTCAAGGTGACACAGCTTGAAGTGGCAGAGCTGGGATTTGAATCCTTGCACCAGGCTCCAGGGCCCCGTCCCAGCCAGGCCTCCTGCTCCCCGCCCACCGCTGTCTGGCGGCCCATCTTCCCCGCCAGCGCCACCCGAGCGCCTTGCCTGCCTCTCTCCCGCGCGCTGGGCCCGCTGGGCACCAGGTCTCTTGCCTCCCGCGGGCGGTAGACCCTGTGAGAGCAGGACGAGGCTGGGCCGCGGATGTGGGATGTTGCCCACACTGTCAGCAGAGGGCTCTCGGGGCCCCGGAGCCCTGCTGTGAGGCACCTTTGGATTAGGAACCCTTGGCCTGATGGCCCATGTCCCTGGGACATCTCTGGCTCCTGACAGGTCACAAGACACAGAGCAGCCCAGACTCTTTCATCACCTGCTCTGGAGTGGAGGGGTCTGACTGCTCTCCCACAGGCTCTAGGCAAGTCCACTGCTTTTTCCAGCTGGGGCAGGAGGCCGGAGCGGGGCACTGGCCAGGAGAGAGCTCCTTCCAGTCAGGGTAGGTGGCACCATCCTACCAGCCGCACTTCGCCCTCCCTGACCTCCCTTCCTACGATTGAGGGAACCTCCTGGGCCCCGCAGCCCCAGGAAGCCAGGCACAGCCCGGCCAGGCCCACGCTTCTCCTGAACTCTGTCTGGACCGGGGTCGTCTTCCAAATGCACCCTCACTGACAGTGTCCCACACGAGCCGGCAAAGGGACAGTGCGGGAGGAGAGGGCCAGACGGGGGTGAGGCCGGCAGCAGGTGGTTCTGCCCCTCCCTGGGCGTCCTCGCTCTGCTGGAGGTGGGAGTCCAGAGGGCTGAGCAATACTTCCTCAGGATGCCTCCGTGACTGGGGCGGGACCTGGTTGATCCTCAGGTAACTGGCACCAGTCCCTGCTCCTCATCCTCGGGACGGCCCCCCCTGCGGTGACTTTCTGTGTTAAAGCAACTCCCCGAGCCAGGGGCAGGAGGCCTGGTCAGCTGTCTGGAGGCCCCCAGAGAAGCCAGGGCCCTCAACACAGGGCCACTCCCAGAGCTCTGCTTGCAGCCACAGGGCCACTCCACGCCCTGCCGAGAGCGCTCGGGAACTGGGTCACAGTCGCCGAGCTTCAGAGCTGGGGCGGCCCTCCATGAGAACACGGGCCGGAGGGCAGCGTCTGCCTGGTCACAGCGCAGCGAGGCCGCAGTGGGACCCGAGCCCAGGTGCCCTCTCCGTCTAGTCCGGTCCGCTCCGCGTGGGCCTGCGCTGAGGGGGAAGGAGCCTCTCTGCCCACTTGCTTCTACCTCCCGGGGCAGCCGGCCCAGGGCCCAAGGCAGGGCTGTGGCTGGAACAGCTGGTCACGGGAGGGTCATACTCTCCCGGGTTCCCCCTCGCCCTCCCCTGTCTGAATGAAACCATCCCCAGGGCGATACCTGTGAGGAATTAAAATTAAATGCCAGTGTGGCAAGTGTGGGGAAACTGGCCAGACAGGTCCCCAGGGGCGCCCCGGGCGGTGAGAGCTCCCGGGTCACCCCACCCTCTGAGTCATGCAGGCCTGTTCCTGGGAGGTGTCAGGCCGGCTCGGGCAGGCCCCCGCCTGCTCTGGGCCCCGCCCGGAAGCTGAGGAACAGTCCGGGTCTAGCAGTTCTGGGGCGGCAGGCCAGAGGAAGATGGTCTCACTGGCGGCGTCTTCTCTGGCCCAGGAGTGGGGATGAGCTGAGGCAGGGGTGAGGCCGGGCTGGGGGCATCTGGGCTCTCTCACAGACCGCTCACCGGCTGCTGAGTCCAGGAAGCTGCTCTGTGGGGAACGACCCCTCCCCTCCCGCTGCCCCTCGAAGCAGGAAAATACCTGGCTGGGCTTCACCCAGCTGGGGGCCTGGTGCCTGGACAGGTTTCCTGGTGGCTTTCACTCTGGGGTCCCACACCCCTGTTTCCCAGCCTACAGTGGTGC